CAATTTCAATTCTCTGTGTGTATGTGCTGTACATGTGGAAGAATTGACAATAAAGCAGACTTGACTTGACTTGACTTAACCAACAAACATACTGCTATTACTGCCAACCCAACCCATCTGACTCTAGTTAAATTATATTGATTAAAGGCCAATGCACATTACCTATCAAAGAATACTTGAAAGTCAAAAACTCTTCTGGAAGTCCAAATAATGACTTCTTACCAGCGGTGTGCCTCAGGGTTCGGTGCGCAGCCCGCTTCTCTTCTGGATTTACACAACCTTGTTGCATGCGAGACAGACAAGATGCAGCTCTATCAATCTTCTCATCCTCACAACCACACCTCCTGTCAGCTCGCATATCAGCCTGTTCTTCTGACATCTCAACCTGGATGAACAAACGCCCCGTTCAGCTGAAATCTGTGAGGCCAGAAACTCCCGATCATCTCAATCGGCACTTTAGTCAACCATTATTAAATTAATGATAAAACAAGAAACAAGTAATAATCATTTTCAATAAAAACAAACAAAAATGTTGTATGTAAAAATAAAACTCTCTCTCTCTCTCTCGATATATATATATATATATATAAATAATGTCAATTAAATAAGGCAGAAACTCCTGATCATCTCAGTCAGTTCATTAGTCAACCACATGCCAGAGAGGCAAATAAAAATTCAAGAAAAAAATACAAATATGTAAAATTACAATAAATATAAATACATAAACCCCCAACAAATAAATAAACGTAACAAAAAATAAAAAAATCAATTAATACACACACATTTAAATATATGTACACACACCAAAAAAATATGTAAACCAACCTACCAACTTCACTTATTTGGTATTGTTCTGGTCCCCCCCAAAAAATAATAATATAAAGTAAGTAAATGCTTGTGTTTTGCTCATTTGTAAGTTGCTTTGGATAAACCATCAATGTAAATGTAGTGAATCCAACAGGCACATCAGTGTCGGTCTTTAATGATCCTGGTCATTTGCAAAGTCCTTTTTCAATGAAATGGAGTTAGTACTCGGCTCGCTGGAGACATTATTTTTTATTTATAAACACTTAGGAAGGAACTGCAGAGGTTTAGTGCACAGAGATGCTTTGCTGAAACCTCAAGAATATGGAAAATAAGATGCTCATAAAAGCAGCACAACAGCACAAAAAACACCCGTCTTCATTACAAACAGCCATCATGTGGTCAGACTTTGTTTTAAGAATTAGTCTGACCAGCTAGCAGTTAAAAAGCATTGTCTTTCTTTCTGTTCTCAACTTAGAGCAGTTTAAGTGTTTATGCAATGTTAAAAAAAAGGATACATTTATAGTAGTTAGCAATTCATGCAACTACAGCTCATACAAAAACCCAACAATGCAAGAAAAACATCATTTGACATTGCATTTTTTTTTATTATTAAAATGTAGACGTGCTCATTAGATCCTGCACGTCAGTTAGACTTTGCTTGAACAGTTTGTTCTTTAACTCATCATTTAACTCGTTTTTAAGCATAACTGATGGAGGTGATCGACCTCAATTGCCATTGCTGTGGTTATACTATACGCAGTCATGCAAACACAGCTGGTTTGAATGTGGATTTGAATGTTGAGAGAGCGTGAGACGAGTTGCGTCTGAAACATGCATCACTTACAGTCATGTACACAAACATACAGTATATCAGCACAGAAATCTCTGGGCTGAGACTGCACAGCAATCAACAGACATTCCTGAAGTTTCCATGTCAGGTTCAAAACGATGCACCAAATTAAACAGACCTCTTACTCACTTAACGGGACAGTTCACCCAAAAATGAACATTGTCATCTTTTACTCACCCTCATGCTGTTCCAAACCCGTATGAGCTACTTTCAGCTGTTGAACACAAAAGAGGATATTTTAAAGAATAAAAGCTCTCCAAACAGTTGACGGTAGCCATTGACTTCCATTGTATTTATTTATTTTTTCCCATTTTATGGAAGTCAATGGCTACCGTCAACTTTTGGTGACCAACATTCTTTAAAAAAAAATCTTCCTTTGTGAAAGTAAACAAACATACTCATGTATAAAAACCAACCAGCCCTTCTTTTCTCCACATTATTCTGCAGTACTTTGTATTTGTCTTAGTCTACAAGTACAAATAAAATAATTGTAAATAATAATTATATAAAATAAAATAAAAAAACATTTGGACCACCTAAAACCATGACATTTTATGTGCTCAAAGATAAATGAATACGAAAATAAATACAAAAAATACAACCATTACGAAAAATATTACTTGAAATAAAGTAAACATGAACTGAAATAAGATATAGACTTAAACATTTAAGATAGTTGCCATTTCTCATTTTCAATTTAAATACTAAAAAGTATATAGACAAACAAAACTTCTAAAAATAAATCAAAATTACTATAAAATTTAAATGAAAACAGAAAAATCTAAAAATAACATCTAATTCAAAATACTAACAAAAGCTAAGTATACTTAACACAGAATCCTTCAGGTTTGGAATGATGTGGAGAATAGAAGAAATCAAATAGAATTGGAACATGAATTTATAGTGGACTAAAAATAAGTGCATCTCCTGATTATGGAAGAGCAGCAAATGTTACCGATATTCACCTCCACATCCAGTCAAACGAAAAGACCATCCTTCACTTCACACGGCTTCTGACCCAAATAATAATAATGTTAAAATAAGAATCAAACAAGTTTTAAGTTTCACTTAACTTTTATTTAAAAAAAAAAAAAAAAGAAAGAAAACAAAACCATTTTTGATTGAACAATACAAGACTACCAATCCAGAATGAGCAAAAAAGAACTAAATGGAACAAAGTGTATGTTTACAATGCGTGTGTTTATATCCCCTCGTATTAGAAAAACAGAAAAAGCACAAAGTGAATCATTATGTACTAACGTAAAAGCGCATCGCCATCTATTCATAAACGAACAGGAGCCACGTGAGAGAGAAAGACGAGCCGGAAGAGTTGAGGAATGAGTGTCACGTAACGCTCATAAAACACCAACACCACGTCACATCTACTGCTTCAGAAAAGCGCTCGTGCACACACACACCTGAGAGATGCCATTCAACCCAACACAGGAAAATCCAAAGGAAACACAGATGAGTGAGGGGTCTGTCCATCCACCAATATGAAAACCACTACTCTACAGCACACAACAGCGCTGGCTGATACTATTTACACCAAACACAGTGTGTGTGTGTGAGTGAGTGAGTGAGTGAGTGAGTGAGTGAGTGAGTGAGTGAGTGAGAGAGACAGAGTGTGTGTGTGAGAGAGAGAGAGAGAGAGAGTGAGAGTGTGAGTGAGAGAGAGAGAGAGAGCGAGAGAGAGAGAGAGAGTGTGGGGCAGTCAGAGAGGACTGTGGGAGACTGATTTGGCAGTGTGTGCGCGAGTGAGTGAGAGAGAGAGGTGTGTGTGTTTTCTAATGTCGTCTCTTCTTCTTGCTGCTGGGAGGCGGAGCTGACGAACGTCCTTTCCTCTTCCTGTTTGAGGTGTCCTCTGTCTCCTCATACTGACTCTCACGATCAGCTGAGGAGGAAATAAAAAACCAATCACTGCATTGTACAGCGTGATGCAGACGTGAACACAAACTTCCAAGATACACACTGAAGTTTTTATTTTAATGCGCTTTATCTATTTGCATCTGTAGATGTCAATAACAGTTAAAGGCCGTTTCTCTCTAATTGAGTTTGTTTCTCCACTTCAGCAACACTTACAGACACCCTCTCTATATATTTCTGAAGGGTTTTCCTGAGGGGTTTGTTCATATCAGGGCTCCAGACAAAAATAAATAAAATCTCTTAAGGTGCCATTGGCTTCTATGAGAAACAAATCTGTAGATGTCCTGTGAACTAAGGATCACTTAAAGTGGGAAATAAATGGCTTTTCCAACTGTTTATTACACAGAATCTGTGCCAATATCACGGACCATAACTATATCAGCATCACTTGGCCACTGAGTGTAGCTGCATTTTATCTTTATCATGTAGACAACAGGTTAAAGCAAAAATATGAATATATAGCGCATAAATTCAGCAAAATGCTCCTCTTTAAAGTTATTTTTTCTGGCTGATTAATGAGCTTATGGAGGCTGAATGTGAATGTGAATGTGTTGTTTACAAGCTTTACTCGTTTTCCGCAGTTTGAAACACTGAACGAGCGATTGCATGAGACATTTCAGTAAGCTGTACTGTCTCTAATAAAATACCTTTTGATGTGCATTCGTGTTTATTTCGTACTATAGTGGTAAAGAGAAAGATCTGATGGGCTCATGCCACATTAAAGAGCGCCAAAACGGTATTTACGTTTTACATGCACATTTTTAAATCATAACATATAAATTTATATAGTCGCCAGTGGCGATCACAGCAAAAATATCACTCACAAATTAATATTTGTGGTTTTAGTCGCAGTCTTGAGCCCTGCGTGTTTCATTCACCTGATTATATATAGCATTTTGTTCCTACAAACAGTAAAAACATATGTTTTTTGTCTCTTAACAATATTTTCTGATTTATGGAGTGATTAAAATGAATGACTTTAATGTGTCAACTCAATCAAACATGAATTTTGAACCTGGCTTCATCCAATGTTCAGATTTAGGTGCTAGAAATGCATGCAAATGACTATTTTTGACGCCTCAATCACATACTTGACTTGAACTTGATTAATCAGAGGAAAGTATGGTGATCTATTAGTTCAAATCTGGAGCCTATTCACCTTCATACACCAAAACCTCCAGGAAGTGTCATTGCTTTGGAGGGAAACAGCAGCAGGTCAGATTAACATGGTTTTTTTTTGTGCATCTCACCTTTTCTGGCTTCCTCCTCCAGTTCGTCCCAGTCTTTGCCGCTCTCCTCCTCGCTGCCCAGAGACGCGCTGTAATCTGTGGTCAATGATCAGACATCAACATCCCTCTACAGATGCTTTAGTAGCACAGCCAAATTCACACACACACTCTGCTAAACTACAACTCCTAACCAAAGCGGCTGATTACCAGAGTCCTCTGTCTCCGAGGAGTAATCTTCATCGCTGTCCTCCTCTTCCACCTCCTCCTCGTCAGCCGAGGGGTTAAACGTCTCGTCCTCCATCTCAGACTCGGAGTCTTGCTCCGCGCCGCTTCCCTGAGACACAGAAACACCACGTTAACATCCATATAATTGTGATCAGCTCAATATATAATAACTACAGATTAAACAGATGCTTGCTCTCCAGAATCATTACAGCTAAAAAAAATGATTTGTATCAAATTTGTAACTTGAAATAAAATAAGTTCATCTTTACTTTAATCAAAATACATTTTAATTTATCTAAATAATAATATATTATATTTTTTATATAAATTTATAATAATAAATCTTTAAATGATCATCTTTTTTTAAATGAAATACATTTCATCATAATTATTATTATTATTATTATTATTATTAATAAGATTTTTATTATTTTCAAACAGCTAAATACATTTCATTCAAATATAATGATAAAAAATACTGAATTAGATAAAGAAATATCAGAGACGAAACATATCTACTGTCAAATGCTTATTCACCACAGTTATTATCGCTAACAAAATAATAAAACAAAAAAAAACTTTGTTGCTTTAAATTTAAAGTAAACATTAACACTTATTTTATCTTATTTTACTATTTAAAAAAATATATATTTTATTTTTGCATTTTCATTTAGAAAAAAAAAACTAGACATTTAAAAAAATCAATACAAAAAATTAAAATTACGTTCAAATTAAAGAGAAAAATTAAAATAAAAATTATAAAAATAAAAAACTATAAAAAAAACAGATTTAAACAAAAATATATTAGCTACTTTCAACGCTCATTTAAAGTTGATATACTCAAATAGTTATATTAGTTATATTAAAAATTGTCTTTGATCTTTCAAGCTCTATCATTGCAGTCAGCGGGTGCTGCATTGCTTCAGTCCAAAAGAAGTGAATTAAAAATCGCCCATCCATAAAAAAAAAATAAAAATTCTCTCACGGCTCCGGGGGGTGAACAAAGGCCTCCTGTAGTGAATCGATGCGTTTTTGTAAGAAAAATATCCATATTC